GAACATTCCAAAGACTTCAATATACTAATACACACTATAAATGACCATAGAAAACCACATATAAATATTATATATAAACCATAATATTCAGAGTTTTGCAGACATTTTTGATCACTGAAGCCCTTTATTGAGAAGCTCTGGCCAGACACAGTGGCTCATGCCTATAATCCCAGCACTTTGGGAGACTGAGGGAAGTGGATCACGAGGTCAGGAGTTCAAGAGAAGCACCTTGAGGAATGAGTATTAAACAGATCACAGTTTAGAAAATATATTGATAAGAGGTTATTAAAAATTCGTGCCTTGAAGGCTGTAAGTGCACTTTAATCAGAGTCCCAGAGTGTTTTGTTCACATGTTTTTAATTATTGGAATGCACACTTTTAAAAATATGCAAATAAAAAGGTTGAAAACTAAAAAATAAAGTTAGTGCCTGTTCTTTAGAGATGGAAGGATAAAATTATAAATGATAAGTTGTACCTATTTCAAAACAAAAGTCAACATTATACTTATTGGTAAAAGACTAGTGTTCCAAATTATTAAATAATAATAATGTTTTTATAAAATGGATTATTATCACTTTATGCATTTATGTTGCTTTGGTAGTGCTGGCTAGTGCTATAAGTCATGACAGAGAAATAAGATACCATAAGAAGATAATAAAAAAAGTATTATTAGAAAATATAAAATAATCAACGGAAAGATTTTAATTAATACATTTTTTCAGGAAATAGATATATAGTCAATAGCAAAAATTCAATTTTTCACCTCAAACACTTGAAATTACAGGGTTCTAAAAATATTTCATCACAATATCTACAAAAAAAATACGCAGGCATCATCTTGGAGGATTGTGTGTGGCTTACATGACGAACCTCAAGATATGTAATATTTAATTTAGCCATCTATAAAGGGATATATATATCTAAATATACATCTCTTAGATGTGAAAACTAAATATTCTAAAATGTTAATTCTCAATGTATAGCTGATTGCAATAGCAATAAACCTTTCAATGGTATTTCATTTGGAATTTCTAAATTGTATGTGGATTTCTGTATTTCCTTTGGAATAATAAGTTGGTATTGATGAACATTCCTAAAAAGAGGCTAATAGAGTGGCATTAAATAAAACACTATGGTAATGGCACAAGACTAGAAATACAAATCAGAATAGAATCAGTAGAATGGACAATTGATAGAATTAATTTCAATCACATAAAAGATGATAATACATGATGAAGTGCAAGGAAAGGAATCAAGCACTTGGTAAATAGGAAAAGCTAACCTTTCACTTTGAATCACATCAAAATAAACCAGATGAATTATTCAGTGTGTTGTCCAGTGTCAAAAATAAAAACAAAAAACAAAAAAACCACAGTAAATCTATCTGTAAATTGTTGAAGAAAATCGAATTAAGTACTTGCTAGACCTCTAGAAAAAGGACGATTTTTCTTTCTGTCCCTTTTGGGCCTTTCACAGGATAAGTTTCTAAACTTTAAAGTATGAGAAGAAATCTCAACAGATGTGACTACCTAAAAATAAAGGATAATGTACTTTTAAAATGACTTAAATTTAAAAACCAAACATCAGCTTTGTGCAGTGACAGCATCGTAACCAGAGAGATTTTCCCAAGATCCTTTTATGGCTCATAAGAACCTTGCTAGTTCAACTGTGTTCAACTCGTTGAATTTCAACGAGATAAGACAAATATACAGAGATGAATTGGGCAGGATTCTTCAATAAAGAATTGATTATTGATTATAATAATGAAAAATCAGAAACAACCTAAACATCCACAATTGGGGGTTGATTAAATACATTTTGATAAAGCTCTATAATGGAATATTAAGCAGTCGCTAAAAATAATAAGGTAATGAATATTTATTGAGAATGAAAGGTCCAATTTATTGCTGAGTGAGAAATTAGATTAGAGAACAACATTAAAAGTAGTTAACTCTGGACCGGGCACGGAGGCTCACACCTGTAATCCAGCACTTTTGGAGGCTGAGGCAGGTGGATCATTTGAGGTCAGGAGTTTGAGACCAGTCTGGCCAGTATGGTGAAACCCCATCTCTACTAAAAATACAAAAGTTAGCTCGGTGGTAGTGGTGCGCACCTGTAGTCCCAGCTACTCCAGAGGCTGAGGCAGGAGAATCGCTTGAGCCTGGGAGGTGGAGGTTGTGGTGAGTCGAGATCATGCCACTGCACTCCAGCCTGGGCAACATGGCAAGACTCCATCTCAAAAAGAAAAAGAAAAAAAGAAGAGAGTAGTTAACTCTGGGTAGAATTTGAAGTGATTTTAACTTAAACTTTCATCTGTGTCTCTTTTTTTTTTCTCCAGTAATTGTGTATGATTTTGATCATCAGAAAGGAAATGGAGCTGTTTTCATTTTAGAAAAACAAGTGCAAACAACTGACCTCGAAAATTGTTTGCAGTGACTTCGACATAGGGTTAAGTCTTTATTATTCAAACAGCTCATGCTAATTGTTAAGAAATAATCAAAGACCCCCGTAGGGTTGAGCAGAGAACATGAATAGACAGTTCATAACATAGAAAACAGAGATGGTAAACAAACACATGGATCATTATTGAGATTCACTTGTAATCAAAGCAGTGTAAATTTAAATAATGAGGTAACATTCTTTGTTGTTAAATTAGCAAAAGTTCATTGCTGTGTTATTTATAATAAAGAAAAAATAATATCAATAAATTGTGGTATATTCTTTTGGTTCTGTTAAAAATGGAAGGTTGTGTAAATTATGTTGTAACCTGGAAAAATATAACATTTAGGTGAAGTAATTAAGGAGTTAAGATTTTATACTAGAAGTACCAACAGGTGGGATGGGGTGGAGTAAGGTGAGGCGAGGTGGGGTGGGGTGGAGTGAGGTGGGGTGGGGTGGAGTGGGGTAGATTGAGGTAGAGTGAGGTGGGGGTGGGGTGGAGTGAGGTGGGGTAGGGCGGAGTGGGGTAGAATGAGGTAGAGTGAGGTGGGGGTGGGGTGGAGTGAGGTGGGGGTGGGGTGGAGTGAGGTGGGGTGGGGTGGAGTGAGGTGGGGTGGGGTGGAGTGAGGTGGGGTGGGGTGGCACAATTTTAAGACTTAATTACATTATTTTCCTTTATTCTTTCACTCAGCCAAACACCTTCGAGTTGTCCTTGACCCTTTTCTTTCTATGTCAGCAAATCTTGCTGGCTCTGCTCTTTAGAATATATACAGAATCGGCCGGGTGCGGCGGCTCACGCCTGTAATCCTGACACTTCGGGAGGCTGAGGCGGGTGGATCATGAGGTCAGGAGATCAAGACCATCCTGGCCAACATGGTGAAACCCTGTCTCTACTAAAAATACAAAAAATTAGCCGGGCGTGGTGGTGTGCACCTGTAGGCCCAGCTACTCAGGAGGCTGAGGCAAGAGAATCGCTTGAACCCAGGAGGCGGAGCTTGCAGTGAGCCGAGATTGAGCCACTGCACTTCAACCTGGGCAACAGAGAGAGACTCCATCTCAAAAAAAAAAAAAAAAAAAAAAAGAATATATCCATAATCCTGACATGTCTCACCACCTTCACTGCTACCATTCTGGCCCATGTCTCTCACCTGGAGGTCTGCGGTGGCCTCCTGCCTGGTCTCTCTGCTTCCACCCTTGTTGTAATGGCCAGAGTGATGATCAGCAGACCACATCACTTTGCTGCCCGGAAAAACCCTTCAGCGGCTTCACATCTCATTCAGAGTAAAAGCCAAAATCCTTAAATCAGCCTACAGGGCCTTTTTTTTTCTTTAAAGATGGAGTTTTGCTCTTGTTGCCCAGGCTGGAGTGCAATGGCACAATCTCGGCTCACTGCAACCTCCGCCTCCCAGATCCAAGCAATTCTCCTGCCTCAGCCTCCGGAGTAGCTGGGATGACAGTTATGCGCCACCACCCCCAGCTAATTTTGTATTTTTAGTAGAGATGGGGTTTCACCCTGTTGGCCAGGCTGGTCTCGACCTCCTGACCTCAGGTGATCCATCTGCCTCGGCCTCCCAAAGTGCTGGGAATACAGGTGTGAGCCACCGCGCCTGGCCAAGGCCTCTTGACAATCTATTCCTCACCTTCAGACTCATACCTTTCTGATCTTATTTCTTACTCTTTTGCACTTACTGTTCTCTCTGCCTGAAAACTCTGCAGTTGTTCATAAGGCTGGCTCCTTCCCTCCTTCAGGTGTCTGCCCAGGTGTCACCTTACCGCAGAGGTAGGCCTGTCTCAGACCTCCGTATCAACCCGTTCTCCCCACCCACGCCCCACCCAGCAGCATCCCTCATGTCCCCACCCTGTTTATTCCTTCCTCCATTTTCCACACCATTTGCCTTACTATGTATTTTATCAAATATTACGAGCTTATATATCTTTCCCAATAAAAGCAGCTCTATAGAGGCAGGGATTTTTTTTTCTATTTTGTTCCTTGCTATAACCTTACCACATAGTAAGTACTAGGTAACTATTTATTGAATATATATATGAGTGTTTCATATATGTAAGTCATAATCCAAAACTAGTTTGAAAGCTCTTTGAGAAAATGTCATGTTGGTTTTTATGCCTTTCTTCCCGCAACTCTGCAAGCATAGAATAAGGCAAGGTAGGCAGGGAACACTACGGGTAAGCAAACAGTATCTGTTGTGTTGGATTCACTGTGCCTCTCAGGCGAGGACTCTACCCAGAGGTGATAGAAATATTCTATCACCGTGATTGGAGTGGTTCCATGAGTATGTGCGTATGTAAACACTTAATTAAGCTGTGTACTTAAGATCAGTGCACCTTTACCATATGTGTATTATGCCTCAGAAAAAATGTTTACAAACACAATATATCCTTTGACATCTCCAGAGGAAGTTAAACATGCTAAATGATACATAAAGATAAGGAAAGAGTTCTTCATATGCTTGCTTATTAAGATTGCTAGTCTGGTTATTAGAATTTTTGTTTTCAATTCAAAGCTAAAGTAAAATAATTTTTATTTACTTTGTCTTTTGCAGAGATAATAGTAGCAGAATTTCACAAAAAAATCAAGGAAGCATTTGAAGTGTTTGACCATGAGTCGAATAATACAGTGGATGTGAGGTTTGGAAATATTTTTTTTTGTTACACTTCTAAATTACTGATACAAGTCATAAGATACAAGAGAGCTATTTTCTCTTCTTTTTACACTGTACTTTGGATTTATTATGCTGTTTTAAGTATTTATTTTCCATGCTCTGTAAAAGGTCTTTGCTAGCTATTGCTTTGATAAGTACTGTTTCTTATTCTTCATACTCTGGTAGAAAGAATATACTGTATTCTCATTGCCTGTTCCAACCTATAAATTGTAAACTCTGTGAGTGAGATGAACTGTATTTCAGTTTTAGTGCTTGGTGCATATCTGGCACTCAGGAAGTAGTCGAGTGAAGGAACGCCATTTGCTTTGTAAAACACATAAAGATGTATTATAAGGCCACGAATAGGATATTGCAAGGAAACGTTAATAATGCCTATGTGATGGCACACTCCCTCCGTAAAATAGCAAAAAGAACCCAAACAGAAGAACATGAAACGACAAGAGAAGACATGAATACTGGTGGGTGTGAAATGGAGGACACAGCTTGAGTCTGAAACAAAACAAACAAAAAACTCCTTAAAAGACAGAAGAGATTACAAACCCTAATAAGAATTGTAGGGTCTGTGCCACACACATCAAAGAAAGGCAGTGAAGCTGGGTGCGGTGGCTCACACCTGTAATCCCAGTACTTTGGGAGGTCAAGGTGGGCAGATCACCTGAGGTCAGGAGTTCAAGACCAGCCTGAACAACATGATGAAACTCCATCTCTACTAAAAATACAAAAATTAGCCAGGCATGGTGGCGGGCGCCTGTAATCCCAGCTACTTTGGAGGCCGAGGCGGAAGAATCACTTGTACCTGGGAGGCAGAGGTTGCAGTGAGCCAAGATCACGCCACTGCACTCTAGCCTGAGCGATAGAGTGAGACTGTCTCCAAAAAAAAAAAAAAAAAAAAAAGGCAATGAAACCATTCTTTCAGGAGGCCAGGCTAAATGAGGGTTATTTGATGAGATTGCAATCTCAAGACCAGAACCTAGTAAAGAGGCCAGCACAGCAGTGGGAAGTGGTTTGAAAATGGTTCTGGAAAGGAACTGTTTGAGGCTTATAAACCAGTGCCATCAGAGGTGCAGCACCACACAGCTCTGGTGGCTTTGGTCACATTGCACTCTGTGGGAATGACACTGTGGAATACCAGGCCTTCCTGTGGGTACCCCAGTAGGAAATGAGTGGGTGGGGTGCTAGTGGTGGTGGTAGGGTTGGGGAGGGGGTGTAGCAGGCAGCCCTGGCCTGCAATTTGAATAACTAAGCACATGAATGACAAGTGCCTTGACCTCAGACCTCTCCTTGAAGGGTTCTCCTGGGGGCAAGGGACAGAGGTATTGTTAGAGAAGTCAGGGAAAGTATGGCGTTATGAGAGGGAGGGAAAGAGAGAAAAGAAACCAGCATTTGCTTAAGGCTTGCCATCTAACACACTACCTGTAGTTGAGTGCTAGAGACCTCATGTGGATTACCTCATTTTAATCTTTTTATTTGTGGGTTAAGGGTTGGCATCTCCAGTTTCTGGAGACAAGGAGAAGGTAAATAGTTTGCTCCATGTCACACCAGGGTTTTTCTAACTCCGAGTCTCTTGCTATGCTACATGACCCACACTCCCACCCCTACCTACCCTTTAAAGACATCGGGGCTTCTCTTCTGCATTCAGGCTTCCTGACAGTAGCCGTGAAAAGAACATCTCTGGATCCTGAGAGCAACGCGGCCAGGCCTTTTATGGTAAAAGGGCCAATTCAGTAAAAGTAAACATGTTTATGGGCTGAATCTTTTTTCCACTGAAAGTTAAAATAACTTTACCGAGGCCCTGAGGGAAAGTAGATGTTCTTACAACTTAAAGGGTTTGCTTTATTAGTTAAAGGTGGTTACTACGAACATTGTTACTGTTTTTAGCATTAAAATACTGATGCTGAGTGTATTTGAGGAGGGACAACATGGATGAATGTAGCTTCCTGATCATTATGCCTGTGTTAACTTGTATAGCACTTTAAAGTTTATAATGAATGTTCTTATGCTGCTGCTATCATTACCATCCACTCTTTTTTAAAAATTTGTTTAAAGATAGGGTCTTACTCTGTCCTCCAGGCTGGATTACAGTGGCTTGATCATAACTCAGTGTGTGTGACCTTGAACTCCTGAAGTGATCCTCCTGCCTCAGCCTCCCAAGCAGCTAGGACTATAGGCACTCGCTACCACGCCCAGCTAATTATTATTTCTTGTAGTGACAGGGGTGTTGCTACGTTGCCCAGGCTGGTCTTGAACTCCTAGCCTCAAGTGATAGACCCTCCTCAGCCTCCCAAAGTGTTAGTATTACAGGTGTGAGCCACTGCACTTGGCCACTGTTTATAAATTGGAAACTAAGCTTTGGGAGGCTGAGGCAGGTGGATCACCTGAGGTCAGGAATTTGAGACCAGCTTGCCCAACATAGTGAAACCTCGTCTCTCCTAAAAATAAAAAAAGTAAAAAAAAAAAAAATTAGCTGGGTGTGGTGGCGGGCGCCTGTAGTCCCAGCTGCTTGGGAGGCTGAGGCTTTAGAATCTCTTGAACCTGGGGGTTGGAGATTGCAGTGAGCTGAGATTGCATCACTGCGCTCCAGTCTGGGCAACAGAGGGAGGCGAGACTCCATCTCAACAAAGCAAACAAACAAAAAAGAAAATGTAAGGATGGAGAAGCCAAAAGACTTGCCCAAGATCACACAATAGGTTAGCAACAAAGTTGGAACTCAAGTTCGCTTCTTCTTTGGGGCAGCGCTTTCCAGTTTGTGCACCCCCCGGGGGGGCTCTGAGAATGCAGGGTGAGTGAGGTCTGGCCCTGCCTTTCCCAGCATGTTTTCTCGGTTTGTAAAAGCGGTTGATCTATCGAGAATGTATTTCGGCTGATTAAAGTGAAGGTCTAAATAGACTTTTTTTTTTTTTTCAAATTACTCACCAGTTTATTCCACTTACTTCTGGGATTGTTAGGCCTTCTTTATAATATGCAACATTTTATAGAAGGGGTCTAATTTGGCGCATATCTTATGTGCTGTACCACTTTACCTTCAATGCTCTTATTAACTGTTGTCAGTTTATAAAATGATTTAGTGTCTGATAGTTTAATATCCTTCTTTTTAAACATTTTAATTAAGGATTGAAGGCAGTATTCTGTGTAAGAATTGAGGAAAGTACATAAAAAAAAATGAAATCCTGTCATTTGTGGCTACCTGAGTGAGCCTGGAGACATTATGTTAACCAAAATAAATCAGGCACGGAAAGAGAAATGCTGCATGATCTAGCTCTTATGTGGGAGCTAAAAACAAACAAACAAACAAACAAAAAAACTGAGTTCCTGGAAGTAGAGAGTAGAGCTGTGTGTCAGAGGAGAGGAAAGACGGGGAGGAGGAACTGGGGAGGCTGGTTAATGGATGCAGAATTACAGCTGGATTGGTGGAAGGAGTTCTATTGAGAATTACAGCTGGATTGGTAGAAGGAGTTCTATTGTTCTGCCGCAGTAGAGGGTGACTGGTTAACTCTCATTTATTTTCCAAAAATACGAGAGAGGATTTTGAATGTTCACAAGGAAATGATCAATGTTTTAGGTGGTGGAGATGCCAGTTACCCTGATTTGATCATTACACATTGTATAAAGCATTGACGTATCACTCTGTATATCTCAGAAATCTGTACAATTATTATTTGTCAACTAAAAATAAAAGGGAAAAAGCAAGGATTGAGTGGTGTAAAGAAGTGTTTTCCAGGCCGGGTGCAGTACCTCACGCCTATAATCCCAGCACTTTGGGAGGCCAAAGTAAGGGAGGAGACCACCTCTCATATCGTCTTATGCCCAGTTTCTGCCTCCAAAGAAAGAAGTAGTAAAAACTAAAAGGCAGAAATGAAATCCACAGGCAGACAGCCCGGCGCCTCACCCTGGGCCTGGTAGTTAAAGATCGACCCCTGACCTAGTCGGTTCTGCTATCTATAGATTACAGACATCGTATATAAATACACTGTGAAAATCCCTATCTTGTTTTATTCCGATCTAATTACCGGTGCACGCAGCCCCCAGTCATGTACCCCCTGCTTGCTCAATCAATCACGACCCTCTCACACGCACCCCCTGAGAGTTGTGAGCCCTTAAAAGGACAGGAATTTCCCACTTGGAGAGTTTGGCTCTTGAGACAGGAGTCTTACCGATGCCCCTGGCCAAATAAACCCCTTCCTTCTTTAACTCGATGTCTGAGGAGTTTTGTGTGCCGCCCATCCTGCTACAGAAGCAGGTGGATCACCGGAGGTCAGGAGTTTGAGACCAGCCTGGCCAACATGGTGAAACCCCATCTCTACTAAAAATACACAGATTAGCCAGGCATGGTGGCGTGTACTTGTAATTCCAGCTACCAGGGAGGCTGAGGCAGAAGAATCACTTGAACCCAGAAGGCAGAGGTTGCGGTGAGCCAAGATCGCACCATTGCACTCCAGCCTGGGTGACAGAGTGAGACTCCGTCTTAAAAAAAAAAGAAAGAAAGAAGTGTCTTTGAACGGAGGGAGAGATATATAATGACGCAGTGGGGGCAGGACAGAGAGAGCCGTTCCTGGAGAGCGCCCCAGGCACTGGCTGTGCCTCCCCTAGCTGCTTTATCCCTCAGGTGGAGGTTTGGTGTTACTTCCTGTGTAGGGCTGATCTAGGCCCCCTTGAGAGGTCTAGGTCTTAGAGTTTTGTGGTGGCTACTCTCCCTTTCCCTTATCTCTGCTTTGCACAAATTGGAATATTTAATATGAAATTTTATCGCATCAGATAAAGGGAAAGTCTGGTATTGCAAATGCTGGGCAGCCACCAGCCCACTGTCAAAACCTTTATGAGCTGGGCCCCTACTACTGCCCTTCCGCCTCTGGGGGCCAGTCCTGAGGTCTGGAATCGGACTTCCTGGCTTCCCATCCCAGCTCCGTGACTGCGAGGCATTTCGTTACTCTCTGTGCCTCCTTGTACATTTGCCTCAGAGGTTTCATAGTACAAGTAAGTAGTTCTCAGAGTGCTCCCAAGACCCTTTCAGGGCACTGTGAAGTCAGAACTATTTTCATAATAAATTTAAGAGAATATTTGTTCTTTTCATTCTCACTTTTTCCACGAGTATATACTGTTTTTTTCTTTTCTTTTTCTTTTTCTTTTTTTTTAAAGACAGTCTCTCTGTCACGCAGCGCGCAGGCTGGAGGGCAGTGGCGCGATCTCGGCTCGCTGCAACCTCCGCCCACTGGGTTCACGCCATTCGCCTGCCTCAGCCTCCCAAGTAGCTGCAATTACAGGCACCTACTGTATTTTTGTATTTTTTTTTGTCACCATGCCTGGCTAATTTTTGTATTTTTGTATTTTTTTTTTTTTAGTAGAGATGGGGTTTCACCATGTTGGCCAGGCTGGTCGTGAACTCCTGGCCTCAGGTAATCCACCCACCTCGGCCTCCCAAAGTGCTGGGATTACAGGCGTGAGCCACTGCGTCTGGCCTCGCATTGTAGTTTCTCAAAGGCTACATGACATGCAGTTTTGCAGCAGATTGAACGCAGAACTAGATATGAGAATACAGCTGTCCCCTGTGAAGCCAGGCGTTACATATTTACATTGAACTTATGTAAAACATGCCATTCTTCTCAATATACTTTTTGTTTGGGAAAATATAGTTTAAAAAAATAGAAATTATTTATGTAAACATATGAGTTGATTTATGATTTCTAAATGAATTAATACATATTTTTAAAATGTAAGGTTTAATTTCTAATATGATAATAAATATAGATCCATATAACTCACACAAACATAAACGCTTTGAGTGCCCTGATCATTTTTGATAGTTTGTAAAAGGAGTTCTCAGACCAAAAAGTTTGAGAACCACTCTTCTGAGTGGACATTTTTAAAGCTCTTAGAACAATATTAGCTTGGGATTTAAAGCTAAGAACAGTATTAGCTATTATAATTTTTCTACTTTATATACATATAGTTTGTATTATTATTTTGAGATGGAGTCTCAGTGTCTGGCTCAAGCTGGAGTGTAGTGGCCCGATCTCAGCTCATTGTAACCTCTGCCTCCTGGGTTCAAGCGATTCTTCTGCCTCAGTCTCCCAAGTAGCTGGGATTACAGGTGCCCGCCACTGCGCCCATCTAATTTTTGTATTTTTGGTAGAGACAGGGTCTCACTATGTTGCCCAGGCTGGTCTTGAACTCCTGGCCTTAAGTCATCTGCCTGCCTCAGCCTCCCAAAGTGCTGGAATTACAGACGTGAGCCACAGTGCCCAGCCCCATTTTATGTTTTTAAAGTAAATAACTCAGATTTGTTTTGCCTCTGTTTAATCTGGATGAGCAATGTTATGTTATATGTAACAAAACTCTCATAAAAACTTTAAAATACATATTTTATTTTAGAGACAAGCTCTGTTTGTGTTGCCCAGGCTGGCCTTGAAATCCTGAGCTCAAGCCATCCTCCTGTCTCAGCCTCCCGAGCAGCTGGTACTATAAGCACGTACCACACCTGGCTAGAACGTTTTACTTATTCCCATATGTTCCATATTGATCTCTTAAGATCTAAAGCATTTTATTTTCCTTTTTCATTTCCTTGTTACATAGTTTTTGGAAGCTAGCTCCTTGAAAAACACTGGGCAGGTTTTCAATATTACTAATTAGGGATACTCTGATTTTGCCTTATATAAAACACAGACTTTTTTTTTTTTTTTTTTTTTAGGACAGTCTCGCTCTGTCGCCCAGGCAGGAGTGCAGTGCAGTGATCTCGGCTCACTGCAACCTCCATCTCCTGGGTTCAAGCGATTCTCCTGCCTCAGCCTCTCAAGTACCAGAAATAGTGAGATTACAGGTGTGTGCCACCATCCCCCAGTAATTCTCTCTCTTTTTTTTTTTTTCCCCATGCTTTTAGTAGAGACAGGGTTTTTGCCATTATAGCCAGGCTGGTCTCGAACTCCTGGCCTCAAGTGACCCGCCCACCTCAGCCTCTCAAAGTACTGGAATTACAGGCATGAGCCACTGCAACCGGCCACATTTTCACTTATATGTATTTTCCTGCTCTGTATTTAGAAGTTAAGAAGACCGATTGAAAATTAAATTTTTGAATAGATGATATATGTACATGGAATAAAATTCTAAAGGTAGAAATAATGTATAGTGATAAAGAAATCTCTTTTCTACCTATCCAGTTCCCCTTTTTAAAGGCAAGGTTTGTTACAGTTTTCTCTAATTCTTCCAGAGATTCTCCATGCAAATATGTATGAGTATGTGTGTGCGCGTGTGTGTGTGTGTGTGTGTGTGTGTGTGTGTGTGTGCGTGTGTGCGCGCGCGCGCGTTTGTGTATTTTTTTACTGTGGTAAAATATAGATAACCTAAAATTTATCATTTTGAGTATAGAATGCAGTGGCATTAACATTACTGTACAACCATCACTGCTATCCATTTTAGGCTTTTTCATCTTCCCAAACTGAAACTCTGTACCCATTTAACAATAATTCCACACCCCTCCCTCTTGCAGCCCGTGGCAGCCACCGTTCTGCTTTCTGTGTATGAGTTTCATTATCCTAGGTGCCTCATATATAAATGGAAGAGTACAATATTTGTCCTTCCTGTGCTTGCTTCGGCGGCACATATACTAAAATTGGAACGCTACAGAGAAGATTAGCATGGCGCCCGCACGAGGATGACATGCAAATCTGTGAAGCTTTCCATTTTTAAAATACAAACAAATAATGTTTGTCCTGTGTCTTGTTTATTTCACGTGTAATGTTCTCAAGGTTCATCCACCTTGTTGCATGTGTCAGAATTGCATTCCTTTTTTGAATAATATTCCGTTGTATTTATATCCCACATTTTGTTCATCTGTCTGTCTATTGATGGACATTTGGGTTGTTTTCATCTTCTGACTGTTGTGAATAACGCTGCTATGAATATTGGTGTATAGATATCTGTTTGAGTCTCTGCTTTTAATTCTTCTGGGTGCATATCCAGGAGTGGAATTGCTGGATCACGTGGTAGTTCTGTGTTGGATATTTGAGGAACCACTGTACTGTTTTCCACAGCGGCTGCACCATGCTGCGTTCCCACCGGCAATGCCCTGAGGTTCCGGTTTCTCCACGTCTTTGCCAGCACTCGTCATTTCTGTTGGTTTTTTGGAGGGGGGTGTTGTTGTTATTGTTGTTTCTATAATAACCATCCTACTGGGTGTGAAATGGTATCTCACTGGGGCTTTGATTTGCATTTTCCTGATTAGTAATGTTGAACATCCTTTCATGTACTTATTGGACATATGTACATCTTCTTTGGAGAAGTCTCTAGTCTTTGCCCATTTTTAAACCAGGTTTTATTTTGTTTGTTTTTGAGTTGTAGGATATGTGTTTATTTTTAACGTGAATGGTATGATACTATATAAACTGTTCTGCACTCTGCTTTTTTTACTTATCAATGTATCTTGACTATTAGTATATAAAAATTGGCTGGGTGCGGTGGCTCCCACCTGTAATCCCAGCACTTTGGGGGGCCGAGGTGGGCAGATCACCTGAGGTCAGGAGTTCAAGACAATCAAGACCACCCTGGCCAACATGGGGAAACCCCATCCCTACTAAAAATACAAAAATTAGCCAGGCATGATGGTGGGTGCCTATAATCCCAGCTACTTGGGAGGCCGAGACAGGAGAATCGTTTGAACCTGGGAGACAGTCATTGCAGTGAGCTGAGATCACGCCACTGCACTCCAGCCTGGGCGGCTGAGCGAGACTCTGTCTCAAAAAAAAAAAAAAAAAAATTATCCTCATTTCATTGTATGGATGAATCATAATATATTGAATTAATCTCCCCGCTAATGGACATTGAAGTTGTTTCCAGGCTTTTGCTATAATAGTTCATGTTGCAGAGAATATCTTAACATGCGTATCATCTTGCAACAGTGAAAACTTTTTCTTGGGTAAATTATTGGAAATAGGTCAAAGGGCGTGACAATTTTTGGTAGATGTTGCTGTCTTGATGATAGAGTCTCTCAACTCATGTGGGAGTACTAGTTTCTTCAATCCTTCTGAAACAAACTTTAATTATCAAGCATTGGGATTTTTTTTCCAATCTGATATGTGAAAGATGGAGACTTAGTGTTAATTTTCTTTCTTTCTCTCTTTCTTTTCTTTCTTTCTTTCTCTCTCTCTCCCTCTCTCTCTTTCTCTCTTTCTCTTTCTCTCTCTCTCTCTGTTTTTTTTTGAGACAGAGTCTTACTCTGTCACCCAGGCTGGAGTGCAGTGACATGATCTCAGGTTACTGCAACCTCCACCTCCTGGGTTCAAGCAGTTCTCCTGTCTCAGCCTCCCGAGTAGCTGGGATCACAGGCTTCCATTCGCCTGGCTAATTTTTGTATTTTTAGTAGAGATGGAGTTTCACCATATTGATCAGGCTGGTCTTGAACTCCTGACCTCAGGTGATCCACCCACTGTAGCCTCCCAAAGTGCTGGGATTATAGGCTTGAGCCACTGTGCCTGGCCTAATTTTCATTTTCTAGATTATGAACATCTTTCATAGCTCTTAAAACTATTTGTATTTCATTTTGTTTGAACTGATGGTTCATGATTTTTCCCCATTTTTTCCCACTGAATTCTTTATCTTTTCATATATTAAAGCTCTCAGCCTTAGTCAAGATATGTATGTCATATGTCTTTTCACTCTACTTTTACTTTCTGGCATGCAGATTTTTTAAAATTTAGTCAAATTACACACCTTTGGAGTATGGATTTAATTTTTGGAAACAAACAAATGTCATTTAGGATAGTTTTAGTAGAATAAATTTAGGTTCCCCTAAATAAAGCTAATTTGGTGGGGAAAAAAATACACCCCCAAGGAGTGCCTCTAAGGTAAATAAGTGAACTTTTCCATGTAGCTGATACAGTTAATTTGAAAGTGACTATAATCTTATTCACAAACAAATCCAATTTTTTGTAATCTAACAGAATAAAAGTACACTAGAAATCAGTAGAGTCAGTTGCTGGCTCTATCGTGGATTTTCTATGTGCCACCCTCTTTTAATTTCATTTTCCTTATCTATAAAATTGAAATAAAAATACCTGCACCATTTAAACCACAAAAGTATAAGAATATCAAATTAAAAATATCAACTTACTTTTTTTTTTTTTTAACACTCCATTCTGATGAATTTCAGAACAGGTTGATACTCAAGAATTTGGTGAGCTAAGATGAGATAGGGCCCAATCCTGGAATAAAAGCACCAATCTTTCCCCTTTCCCAAGCCACACCCATCTGTCCTGTTCCTATGCTTCAATGCCTTTACAATGTGACCTTATTTTTAGTATTCCACACTATTCTGTGTGATAAGGTTTGGCTGTGTCCCCACCCAGACCTCATCTTGAATTGTATCTACCATTATCCCCACGTGTTGTGGGAGGGACCCGGTAAGAGGTAATTGAATTATACAGGCAGGTTTTTCCCGTGCTGTTCTCGTGATAGTGAATAAGATGATTTTATAAAGGGCAGCTCCCCTGTAGACACTTTCTTGCCTGCTGCCATGTAAAATGTGCCTCGGCTCCTCCTTCGCCTTCCACCGTGATTGTGAGGCCTCCCCAGCCCTGTGGAACTGTGAATCCGTTAAACCTCTTTTTCTTTATAAATTACCGAGTCTTGGGTATTTCTTCATAGCAGTATTAGTCATATGAGAATGGACTAGTACACTGTGTTTAATTTATACCTGCCCCATCTATAGGAGATTTTTCTTAATATTTTCTTAATCTGTAGACAAATTTCGCAGTCTAGCAGCACCAAGTATCTACTTGCTAATATAGTGAGTCTCTTTTTTCATTGCTTCCATCTTCAACTCAATATGAGTCTCTGAGGCTCATGGTATCCAATATTCATTTCTTTTACTGATAGGGAGACTTAAACTTCGTTAGCAATTGGCAGGAACCTTGAGTGTACTAGGTCCTGTGTAAAATTCAGTAAGAAATAGTAACAAGAACTTATTTGTAATGGATTAGAGATAACTTTTCCTAGGAGCACTGGAGGTACGATAAATACTGCTGTTACTTCACATATAGTGCTGTGTTTGAAGAGATATTAAAACAACATTTTGCAATTCATGTTTATCAGATAGTAAAAAGTGTGAGCAGTGTGGAGAGATTACATGGACGGTGTCCTCAAGACAGTTATTATCTGAGAAGGCTGGAAGCTACTCAGAGTGCTTTATAAAAGCTGTATCGATATTGGGTCTACATTTGTGCAATGGAAAAACATGGAAGAGGATTGGGAATTGTTGGGTTCACACACCCCTCAATAAGAAATGAATTGTAAAAACAGGTTTATTCATGCAGTGATTGTTCACCTGTATGCTTGAAGTGAATGCTGAACCTAAGACTACACGTGTAACTTGGATAAATCTCAAAAAACAACGTTGAGTTTAAAAAATTACAAAAGGACAGAAACATACTACCATATATATACATTTTAAATAGACAACTAATAGTAAATATTGTTTATGAATACAAAGATATGCATGGAAATGATAAGCATTATCCTCAGAATAGTGGTGTGGTTGCATCTGAAGATGAAAGGAGAAGGGAGGAGGAGTGGAATGTTAGCTGTTTCTGCAATGTTTTCTTGTTAGGAAAAAAATTCTGAAGAAAATGTGGCAAGATGTTAACATCTGTTAAATCTTAGTATTGGCTGTCATATTTTCTCCTGTACTTTTCTCTGAAATACTTTATGACTACACATAAAAATAAATATTTTTAAAAGAGTGATTTATATCTTATCTCTTTACCATCTCACTTTGTAGTTGCTTTGTTAAAAATTGGTTTGCTTATCATGGTCCTTTTGATGAACCGGGATTAAAGAGTCAAAGAGAATTTTTAAAAGTCATTCCAAATTCTACTTCCTGAAATAATAATTGTTACTGTTAGACTACTATTATTCTAGAGCTCTTTCTGCCCATGTGTAATATAATAAATGGATAGAAAGGTGGGGAATTAATAAGAAAGGAAGAAGGAGGAAAGGAAAGGAAGGAAAAAGATATGGAAGGAAAAATCTAGGATATAATCTTCATGTGGGAAGGACTTACTTTAATTTTACTTGAATGTGACAAAAGAAAAAAAATTACATTGAAGAAATTGTGGAATCTCAAATGTTTGTTAGCCATAAGAGACATTATTTAAGTTCAGAAAAGATTTTGAGGAAAACATTAAGACACTGTAGTCCTTGTGTGTTTTTTTAAACTATCTATTTCAAATATAAAAAGTGTCAGTTGATTGCTTGCTATGAAAGATAAGGACATTAGCATATCCAAAATTCTGTCTCTACATTTTCTCTCCCAACCCCCAGTTTATCTTAGGTATATTTTTATTTTTACACTGACAAGGTAGAATGTTCATACTTTGTTCCTACATTTTTTAGTAGTTTTGTATATTTGAATGAAGTTGCCACTAACCACATTTTCTCATTTTTTTCTCTATCCTTGAATTCTTTGATTTATTTTTGTTGTGTAGATTCTCGTGTCAGTTTTTAAAATTTTTTCAGGAAGTGCTCATGGATGTTTTTGAGACTGGGTCTCAGTCTGTCACCCGGGCAGGAGTGCAGTGGTGCCATCACGGCTAACTGCAGCCTTGACCTCCTGGGCTCACGTGATCCTCCTGCCTCAAAGAAAAGTCCCTGTAACTCTTTTCCACCAGTCACCCAGTTCCCCTCTAAAATACTGG